GTGTGTCCTGGTGTGATGCTGTGGGGTAATGCACTGAACTGCAAGGCCGGTTTGAAACACAAGGTCAATGGTACAAGCTCAGCTGTTCCTCAGAAACCCCTATACAGGATTTGAATACAGGACATTTTAAACCATAATCAGGTAAGGCTGACATCATTCAGATCTGAGTCTGAATTGACTCTAGAACACTTATGAACAACATGTATATCAATGTTCTACAGGGAAGAAATAACATTAAGAAATCTTTTCCTTTTGGTGTAGCTATTCTATTACTAGAAGCAAAATGTTCAGTATTGATGACAACGGCACAATCATTGCCACAGACCCTCTGGACCGGGAGGTTAGTGCTTGGCACAACCTAAGTATCACAGCTACAGAAAAATGTAAGTATGATGTGGGAACCACATTTGAGTTCACAATAGTTTGTCATCCATGAAATAACTTCTGAAAGTAAAGGGACAATTAGCTTAAAATATTGCTGGAATTATAAATAAATCCTATATCAATTTCTTTTACATGTTATTTTATTGTATTGTTTTAAATGAAGGCTGTCTGATTACTCACATTGCAGCTTAATCACTAAGATACTTTTTTTCTTATCTGTAAGAATATATTTAAAAAATCATCTATAATGCAAAAATAATCATGAAAAATGTAGAGCAAAGTAAGGCATAAAGCAAAAATTACCCACAATTCTATAACCTGCTTACAATGTCACAATACACCCTCTGGAGTACTTACCGTGCAGTAATCAAGGACTCGGCTGCTAACCAGGAAGACGGCAGTCCCAGTTGCTCCACAAGAGAAAGATGTGGTGGTCTGCTTATGTAAAGATGTGGTGGTCTGCTTATGTAAAGGTCACAGTCTCTGAAACCCTGGGGGGCAGTTCTACTCTCCCCTATCCCTATCGGGTGGCTATGAGTCAGGAAACAAGTCCATTACAACAAATTTGGTTTACATTTACTACCCTTTGCTTTGGGGATAAAGAAAATGACAGATTATTTACCCCTCATTTGTATGGTTTTGAACACTTATCTACTGATATAAATGAAATATACATTTTCAACCTTTTAAAACTGAGCAATATTCATAGCTATTTTTCATGGCTCCTTTTTAAAGATGAGTAGAATAGAAGACCTGTGTTCCTTCCAAAAACATGTTCATACTGAAAAGACAGTTATGGACAAAAAGAAGGTATAACACTAATTTCATAGGAATTGTTCCCTTAAAGTAAAATATTTAATTTAGAGAAGTACAGAATAAATTTTATACATTATTTTTGCTGCTTTGTAAATAGTAGTATAACTACTGAATGAAAATTCAATTTAAAATAACTTAAAATGGACGTTTTAACCATAATCAGGTAAGGCTGACATCATATATAAGTTTACAAAAATATTACTTTTCAGTTTAAACACACAATATGAATGTTCTATTCTACTTCCAAGATAAAATGCTAGAGATAATCTTGGACATCGGTAGGCAGGTAAAACTTATCCTGTAACAGCAGTCAGAAAGGGAAACAGTTAACAGTTATCAAATTTCAATGAAACAATTATGAGAAACTATGCAAAGAATACAAACAACAGAAATTCACTGGTTGGCTACATCAAAATCTCAAGGAATACATTTTCAAATTCAACTGACAGTTTCAGCCATGCTGATAATAACATAGTCAATAATCCAAAGCTGTTAGTTTCTGAGACAGGCAGAGCTTTCCCTTTCTAAGAGATAAAAATAGAGAGATTCATCCAGACTTACCACTTGGATATTGTCCTGAAAATTACCAATCAATTCCATTATTCAGTAATTCATATTAATTCAAGATGGGACACAAACACATTATCAAAATGGCTCCCATTACTTAGTCAATGAATTTCTTACAGTAAAGAATTAGGTTTATGAACCTGAAATATTCTGGAATGTACCCTTTCATATAAGTGATTTTGAGTGTGCTTCAGTTTTGTTTTTAAAAGCATTTAAACATATATTCATTATTCCTCAGTTAGGTAGACAGGTGACAGGTGATATTGTGGGTGGAAAGTGCCTCTTTTGCATTATTATTATTTTATTTTATTTTTTTGCCATGCATTGAATAGCTCTATAGAAACACTGCACGATGACTTTTGTCCTGGATTTTGAATTTTCCCTTTCACTAAAGCAATAAAGGTAGAGAAGCAAATGTTACAATGGAAAAAGTATCTGCTGCAACAGATGAAATGTCAAGGATTTTGGCGTCAAAAAATACAAAGACGTTTATTCCCAAAATCAGAAGCTTGCATTCGTTGGGTATTTCTGAGTACACATTATTTATAATGTCACTTTTTACAAATCTATTGAGAAAAGAAGAATTTAAATGTGTTTAAGAGAACGCTGGATATTTTTTAAAAATACTCTTGTCTGTCAAGTAGCTTTCAGCTGGAAATTGATCCTGTTTGAATAAATGTATGTGAATTGCTTCTCCACTTTATTCTTATTTGTTCTTACATACGGAGTCCTGGTGTGGCGCTGTGGGTTAATACGCTGGATTGAAAATCATTTAAACTACAAGGTTGGCGGTTCAAGCTCACCAGTCTCCTAGTAAACTCTATACAGGGTCGCTATAGCTCAGAACTGACTGGATAGCACTTAACAAGAGCAACAACAAATTCTTACATATAACAAGAAGGGCTTTTTGTAAGAATGTGTCAATTACCTTCATTCAATTAAGTACTTCAATGTGAATTACTAAAAAGCAGAATCTGTAACATTTTGCTTGGGTCCACAGTTGACAGTCCTGGAAACAGAAGTCAAGAAATAAAGGACATGCTGCATTAGACAAATCTGCTGCACAAGATCTCCTTAAAGTGTTGACGATATCAGTTTGAGGACATAGGTGCACCTAACCCAAGCCATGGTATTTTCAATAGCCTCATATGTGTATGAAATTGGACAATGAATAAGGAAGACCTTAGAAGAATTGATGCATTTGAGTTATGATGTTGGAGAAGAATATTGAAAGTACCATGGGCTGCCAGAAAAACAAAAAGGTCTGTGTTGCAAGAAGTACAGGCAGAATGCTCCTTGGAAGCCAGAATGTTCAAACTTCGTTTCAAGTACTTTGTACATATTATCAGGAGGGACCAGTCCCTGGAGAAGGATATCATGCTTGGTAAAGTGGAGGATCAGCTACACATAGAAAAACTCTTGACGACATGGATAGGCACTGTACAGCAGCAATGGGCTCAAGGGTAAAACTTGTGAGGATGTCACATGGCAAGGCAGTATTTCATTCCATTATGCAACAGGTCAAGGAGCTCTGGTAGCATGGTGGTTACGCATCGGGCT